CTGTGCGCCAACAATTGGCCATTTGGCCTGCTGATCTTGCATTTGTCATCCAATGAAGTCAGCAGCCTGCTATACTGCCTGCCAATCTTGAGTTCATCAGCCCCTGCAGTTGCATAAGTCAGGAAAAGCCTCCTGCCTGACGTTTGACCCATGAACTTGAGACATGCCACCCTTTACAACTGGGTGAGCCATTTCCCTGAGACAAATTTCTTTCTCTGTCTATCCCTCTGCCTATCTGACTCTGTCTCTGTCCCTCTCTCTCTCTAAATATATGCTTTACTGATTTTGCTTCTCTGGAGAACCTAGCCTAAGACAGGTACCTTTCCAGGAATCCAAGTTTTGACATGGAGGTCATCTAATAGCTGGACAAAACTTTACATGAGGAGGAGTTCATTGAAACAAGAAGTTTTAAAGAAGCAATTAATTATTAACAACTGCAATCTCCTAAAATATGGCACCAAACTAAAAAATACCACTGCCATCAACTCACAGCAAACGTTACAGGGTTTCCAAGGCTGTAAATCTTTAAAGAAGCTGATTGCCTCATATTTCTTCCGTGGAGCAGCTGATGGATTCAAATGTTGACCTTTTGGTTAGCAGTTGAATGCCTTAACCACTTCACCACCAGAGCTCTTTAAAATAGGGCACAATGAGGTAAAATACAATGAATCCATATGATGGAACATTATATAGCCATTTTTCAAGAGTATGTAGGGAAATGAGAAACCTTTAGGTGTAACATTAAAGGAGCTCTGGTGGTGTAGTAGGTAGGGCATTTGGCTGCTAATCAAAAGGTCAGTGTTTCAAACCTACAAATCACTCCATAGGAGGAAGATGAGGCAGTCTACTTCTAAAAAGATGTATAGCCTTAGAAACCCAATGGAGGTTGCCATGAGTTGGAATCAACTCGATGGCAGTGGGTTTGGTTTTTGGTTTTTAAGTATAACATTAGGTGAAAAAGGCAAGATACAAAATTATATTTGCACTATAATCCTATTGGGGTAAAATAATAATAATAACACATATAGAAAAGACCAGAATGAAATGTGCTCATGTGTTGACAGTGGGGAACAATGAGAGGATGGCATCAAGGGTGATCTCTCCTCCGTCCTCCCCCGATCTTTAAATCTGTTGAGGAATTTCCCAAAAGCACCCAAGGCACTGTACTACAGCAGAGGGCAAAGGGAAGAGAAGGCTTAGGTTACTTAACTCATTGTCAACGGCAGAGGACTTATAAATCTGAGGTGTCACTTTGGGCTTTCATAAACTGACAATGAACCTACCCTTGCAAAGCTATCACAGCTCTATAGCCAAAATCTCATAGCACGCATGATCTTCCTTCACTAGTTTAATTCACTCTAATACACAACTCAAGCTCAGCAGGCATCTTGGGGAACAAATACAATAAAAAGATATAAAGGCAACCACTCAGAGGGGAATCTCTGTAGGAGATCCTGGATAGAGTGGGAAAACGATGTGGAACAAAACTCAAAATCACACACACACACACACAAAAAAGGACCAGGTTTGCTGGTCTGATAGAGCCTGGTGGAAGCCCTGAGACTATGGCCGCTAAGCTGCGCTTCAGCCTGGAATTGACCCTATTCCTGTGGCTTCCAGCCAAACAAAAAACAAGCATATGAGCTGAACATTTATACTAGGTAGATACATTCCTTGGAGAAATCAATCATAGAATAGATTGATTTCTGTGTATGCACAGGAAAACAGCTCGAGGACAGGAGTCATGGGAGGGAAGGACACAGGGAAGAGGTAACTATGGGGAGGATGTGGGAAGAGAGCTGTTCCATTGTGGGACACTGCAGTCAACGTCATGAGACATTGTATATGTGAACTGCTGTATGGAAAATGTATTTGCTCTGTAAACTTTCACCCAAATCACAACAGAAATTTAAAAAAAAATACAAAAGATAAAAGACGTCATTTTACCATTTGTCAAGACCTTTCAGAGATACCAGCTCATCTGAGCCTCACAGCAGCCAGTAAGGTGGATAAAGACGAGGAATGAGGAAATGGAGGCAGAGAGCCACATGTCCACAAGTGGTAAGTGACACAGGGTTTCTTGACTTTTGACTTCAACCCTGGACTTTGAGTTAAAACTTGGTGCTTTTTCCACTATTTCAAGCCATCACCCATGATTCTTTATAAATGTCTTAAAACAAAAATAATTTTCTTACTTGAGGTGTAGCATAGTTTTGAATTCAAGTGCTGAGAGATAGAAGTCCAATGAGAGAAGTGAAACACACATCACTACCCACTGTGAAGTTACCTGCTCTCCTTCCTTTATCTCACAAGTCCTGATAACAATGTGCTTATGGTTTTTATGATGTTCAAGGCAGAGTTCTCGCTTTCCATGCAGGACACCCGGGTTCAATTCCTGACCAACGCAACCTCATGTATAGCCACCACTCATCTTTCAATGGAGACTTGTTTCAGTGGAGTTTCCAGAGTAAGACAGACTATGAAGAAAGGCCTGGTGGTCTACTTCTGAAAATGAGCCAGTGGAAAAAAACCCTTTGGATCACAATAGTGCGATCCACAACAGCTCATGAGGGTGGGGTAGCACAGGGCAGCATTTTGTTCTGCTGTGCATGGGGTCACCATGAGTCAGGGTTAACTCAACAGCAGTGAACAACACATCTGTAGCTTATGTTCTGTTCTCCCTCTGCAAAGCAGTGGGGTACAGTGGAAACACAATGGACTTTGGAATCAAGTAGGCTGGGCTATGAATCCCAGATAAAGATACAGACTAGGACACACACAACCTACCTCGGTGGTTCTGTTTCTCTGAGTGGTTGCTGACTGAGACATACTGTGTGGTAACAAGCAAACTGTTTAGCCTCTCTGGCCCTCAGTGCCTTCACTGAAAATAAGCACTTCACAGTGTTATAAGAAGTAAGTGTAATAATGTATATAAAGTGTCCAACCCAAAGCTTGGCATACAGCACTTAACATTAGTTCCCATCTCATTCAACCCACTTCTCTAAGGTACAAACATTACCCAGGTGGGTCAAATGATGCTGGCTGGTCAGGACATCCTCTCTTCATACAGGCTGGAACATACAGCTTTCTCCAAATTCTGAAGCAACTGGCACTCGCCCTCTAAGTACTATCTGCAACTCTGAGGCCCAAAGGAGCTCTGGTGGCATAGCAGGTAAGGCATATGACTGCTAACAAGAAGGTCAGCAGTCCAAACCGAGCAGCTGCTCCACGAGAGGAATATGAGGCAATCTACTTCTGTAAAGATTTACAGCCTTGGAAATCCAATGGAAGTCACTATGAGTCAAAATCGATTGATGGCAATGAGTTTGGTTTGGTTTTTGAGTTATGTACCTACCAAGGTCGGTGGGTGGCACAAATGGTTTGTGCTCAACTACAAATCTAAAAGTTGGAGTTCAAAAGCACTCAGTTCTGTGGAAGAAAGGTGTGGCAATCTGTTTCCGTAAAGATTATGGCCAAGGAAACCCTATGGAGCAGTTCCACTCTAGCACATGGGGCTGCCATGAATTGGGATCAACTGAAAGGCAACAGGTTGAGTTGCATATACCAGCCCACTGTCAGTGGAGGCATGCGTGTTGCTACGATACTGAACAAGTTTCAACGGAGCTTCAGAGTAAGAGAGACTAAAAATGCAGGCCTCGCAATCTACTGTTGAAAATCCACCAATGAAAACCCCGTGGCTCACAACGGTCTCACCCCACTGGGCATGGGGTTGCCATAAGTCGGGGCCAACTCAATAGCTGCGAACAATACACCTACCTGTATGGGCAATGAAATGCAGGATGACAACCAAAATCTCCCATCCAGTAAAACATGTCAATAGCTGCCATTTCCCCAGGGTGGCTGCCTGAAGGAAACACGGGTCTGCTAATAAAGACTCAGGGGACATGCTCTGCATCTTGTTCCCTTCCTAACCTGTTCTGGTTTCTATGAAAAAGTGAAGGCCAAAGAGATAAACCAGATTAACACAGCCAGCTGTAAGGGACTAGGCTTCTCAGGCACGAAGAGCAGTGTGTACGTTTTTATGGAGGAGATAGTCACTTGCTGGAAGGCTTCCAATTGCTCATTATTATTTGGACCTGAAGAGCAGTTGCCCTGAAGACAAGCTTCGAAGAGCTTGCTGACGTAAGATCCCAGGCTGTGGTAACCCCATTTGGCCAAGGAAGTATAAGTTTATCAATTTATTTTTTCAACTACTGCTGTGAGGTTGCAATTAAGAGGGGGATCAATGGAAGGAATCCCTGATGTCTGTAGTCATAAAAACAAGAGTGTGAAACAGGGCTCCCATAAAAGGTATACCTCCTCTTGTTGTCATGTGCCCTCAAGTTGGACCGACTCATAGTGACCCCTCCTTGGGTTTCCAAGGCAGTATCACTAAGGAAGGAGATTGCCCAACCTTCTGAGGAGTGGCTGGTGGGTTTGAACCGCCAGCCTTCTGGTTAGCAGTCAAGTGCCCCAGGCACTACGCTACCAGAGCTCCTACCTCCTCTTGTTGTTGTTGTTGTTGTTTGCCGTCGAGTCGGCCCCGACTCATAGCGACCCCTCCTTGGGTTTCCGAGGCAGTATCACTACGGAAGTAGGATTGCCCAACCTTCCTTCCGAGGAGTGGCTGGTGGGTTTGAACCGCCAGCCTCCTGGTTAGCAGTCAAGTGCCTTTGGCACTATGCTACCAGAGCTTGAAAACTCCTAACTTGGGGACAATACTTTAGCATCTCGGTTGGTGGCTTCCTGCTCTGACCACAGACAGTTCCTTTTGTGGTGACAGGAATTGACACAAACAAAAAAAAACTAAATAAAAGTTTACTAACGCGCCTTCCTTTTTTCCGAGCCTGATTTATCTAGGATCTGTGGGGGAGAAATCTGAAATCTCCAACCTGTTAATCAACATTTCATCAACCACTAAAATAAATGAAAACTTGGAAAGCGAAAAAATTGGACCTCCACAAGATTCTAAAATAAAAAAAGGCGCCGGGATTGTGCACCCGGTCCTCCGTATCACGATCTTCCGTTCGCGGGGCCTTTGAGGACAGGGGGCTCCCAGCGCGCGGACGGGCGGAAGCGCACCCGAGGGGGCCGAAAGCAGGCCCCTCTTCCTATACTCTGGACAGCCCAGCGTGAGCGTGGGCGTGGGGGTCACGGGTCCTCCGAGAAGGCGCTGGGAGGAGGGAAGGCATGACCCGGGTAGGCGGGAAGAGCGGGACGGCAGCTATCGCCACGCGCCGTGCCCGACCCGGGCCACCCCAGGGCAGCCAGATGTGCAGCGCGGGGTCCCACGGCGGAGCCAGGACGCGGCAGCCCCCGGCACAGCGGTACTGCGATCCCGACCCCTCGCCTTCCGCCGCACACTGGATTCTGCACTAGGCGCCCCAGTTCCTATAGGCACTTACCCACCAGCGGCGAGCTCGCGGCGCCTCCCACCAAGAGAGCAGCGGCGAGGACGGCGGACCCCGGGAGTCCCCACGGAGCCATCGCCGCGTCTTTTCGCCCTCCTCACCCGGGGCGCCGCGTCCGGGCACCGGCAGGCAGTGCAGCGCTTGGGCGGGCCCGCGGGCGGGCGGATAAAGTGGCGGGGCTCTGCCCCGCGCGCCTTGACACCCGTCGCTCCAGCCCTCCCCCCTCGGCCCGGCCCCGCCTCTCCTAGCCAGGCTCGGAGCTCCGCCTACCCCGGCAGGAGGCCCGCCCCGTCCGGGCCCTGCCCCCTACGGCCCCTCCCACCTCGGCCTGACCTCGCTTTTCTTCCCCACTACTGAGGCGCCGCCTGCCCGGGCGCAAAGCCTGCTCTGCTCTGTTCCCCTTCCCAATTAGACCCGGCCACGCCTCTCTCGGCTGCTCCCTGGGTCCCGCCCACATCACGGCGCCACCCGCCCAGCCTGGCCCCGCCCACTCTACTATGGCCCCACCCTCCCTCCTGCTGCGACGGCTTCTTTTCTCAGCCTTGCCCCACTGCTGCAGCCCGGATTTCGCGGGAGCCTGGGGCTGGGGCAGGGTCGAAGAGGCTCGTCTGCGCAAGCTTTGGGGCAAACGCGGGCGTGGAAAGAGCAAGAGCGAGCGCGTTGCGGGAATCGCCGGACCAGCACACGCCGGCAGCCTTAGAAAGCATTTCATATTAGCGGCCTATGAGCCAGTCTACTCTGTCACATGAGGTCGCCTTGAATTGAAAATTCACTCCACGGCACCCAACAAAAACTGGGGAAAGTACTTCCACATTATCTCCAGAAATAACTTGCTTTTTTTCTAATCATGTTCCCACATTTCACTTTGCAAATAACTCTATACGGAGCAGTTCTTGAAAGTACCCTGACATTTAACAACAACATCAAAAAACCTATCTCCCTTGAGTACTGTGATTTATAGCGACCTTATAGGACAGAGTAGAACTGCCCTGAACTGCCCCCACAGGATTTCTAACGCTGTACTCTCTCCTACGGAAGCAGACAGCCACATCCTTCTCGCACAAAACAGGTTTAGGTTAGCAGCTGAGCACTTTAACCACTGAGCCATCAGGACTCCTTGTCTTGTCATTTATCATCCCCTATATTCAAACATCAATTCAGTGAGGTATTATCCCCATTCACAGGAGAGGAAATAGACCCACGATGGCTGTTATAACACGATAAATTGGAATTAGCATATTGTCTCTGTGTTTGCTCATGGCTGTATCCTCAGAGCCTGGCATAATAACAGCACACACCAAGTGCGAGGTCAGAAGTATGTTTTCAAGTTGAATCGTCATCCCAAGCATTGATAGCATTCAGAACCTGAATAGTTCCCTGCTTACTGCCCTGTAGAGACTCCTCAAATAGGGAGGTCAAGCACATGCGTGAAAGAAATGCTGGCAAAACTTACGGAATCGAACTCTCAGGAACACGAAGGAGGGGCGTGGGTGCTGCGGATTCCACACGACAGGGCCCTTTCTTAGACCTGACTGGAAAACTGTAGTTTTTAAAAGGGGACCTGGGCTATTTATCTTCTCACAAGTCCTCTCTGCAGCTTGCTAGACAAACACATTTGCCCTGATATGGGAATTACCTGTGACAGATGGCTGAGGAGGAAGGATGGAGCCTCAGCCCACTGAAGCCAAAGGCGGTGCTGTACGTCCTGTTCGCAGTCGGCAAGACCCACTACAGTCTGGCAGGCTAACCAGCAGCCCTTCCTAGTTTCATGCAACATAAAACTGAGGATAGGGGCAGAGGAAAGAGGTCCATGTAGATTCTCAAATTTTTGAAAAAGGGAGAGAGAGAGTACAGAACTAGAAATTAAAGTTTAAGTTATAAATTGAAGCCAGAACCAGCCACATAATTTCCTGCCTGGAGCAAAATGAAAATGCAGGCATCTTATTTAAAAATTATTTAAAATTTCAAGAACAAAGGAACAGAGCATTAAACCAAACATGGCTGCACAGGTCACACACCCATGAAGTCAGCTCTGATCACAGAACTGTCAAAAGAAACTGAGTCAATAATAAAAATGTATTGCATGAGGTGTATTGGGGTGCGGGGGTGGAGGTGAAGGACTAGGTGAGAATCCAGTAGCACCAAACCAAGAGTGGAAAGGTACACTGTCAAGTATTAGCAGTGACTGGCTTTTTATTAACAAAACTTAAAAGCAAAGAAGCTTATTTCTGACTAGCTTATACAATTTACTGTTGGAGCACTGTCAGGATTTCATTGGTCAAAGGAGAGGGTGCAAATGTGGGGGACACAAGAGCTGTTGAGATCCCATTGGTCAAAGAGGGTGGCTGGCTTTACTGGAAAGCTAGGCTTAAATTTTGGTAAGGACATGTCTCACTAGCATTGTCCACATTGCTACCAATGCCATTTTGTCAGCCACACTAAAACCAAACTAAAAAGGAGCTTTGGTGGCATGGTGCCCAAGGCATTTGACTGCTAACTGGACGGCTGGTGGTTCAAACCCACCAGCTACTCCTTGGAAGCAAGACTGGGGATTTACTTCCATAATGATATAGCCTCGGAAACCCAAGGAGGGGTCATTATGAGTTGGATTCGACACTACTCCACTTTTATTTCATTTAACAAAATTTAGAATGTAGCAAAATGCTTAGATCAAGACATCTACTCAAAATATAAAATATCATCTGAAATTGAATAATATTTCAAACTTTTCTCACTGGCTGAATTTACCATTAAAAAAGATTGGATCATTTTTAATAATGCATTTGGATTAGATGTTGATTTATTGCTCTCTAGAAATAAAAATATAATCTACTAGCATTTAAAATTGAAAAATTCTTAGTAATTATGATAGTTAAGGTTGTGTGTCAACTTGACTGGACCATGACTCTAAGCAGTTTAAGTAGTTATGATGTAATCATCCCCCATGCTGAGATATTATGAGCAGCCAATCAGTTGAAAGGGAGTTTCCTCAGGGATGTGGCCTGCTTCCAATATATACATATGGACATTCTGGGAAAACTCTATGGCTTTCTTCTGGATCTTAACCTTGCATCCAACTCATCATCTTCTCCAGTTCCTGGACTAAAACCAATGGCCTGCCATGTTGTGTGCAGATCTTGGGGTTTGCCTTTGTGGCCTGTGAACCAACAATCTGCCATTTTACCTGCCAGTCTTGGATTCGTCATCCACCAAAGCCAGCAGCCTGCTGTACTGCTTGCCAATCATAGGTTCATCAGCTCCTGCAGCTGTGTGAGTCAGGAGAAGCCTCCAGCTTGATATCTGACCCACTGGCTTGACACTTGCCACCCTCCACAATTGTGAGTCATTTCCTTGAAATAAATCTCTCTCTCTCGCTCTCTCTCTCTCTGTATATCAGCTTTGCTGGTTTTGCTTCTCTAGAGAACCCAGCCTAAACAGTAATCATCTACCAAGCCCTTTATTTTACAGATGAGTAAACATTGACTACTTAGGAGCTCTGGTAGTGTAGTGCCTAAGGCACTAACTGCTAACCAGAAGGCTGGTGGTTCAAACCCACCAGCCATTCCAGAAACCCAAGGAGGGGTTGCTATGAATCGGGTCCAACTCTATGGAACATAACAACAATACTGGTATGGTTAAATGACTTGACCAGCATCTAATTTCTAGTATGAATCTGGATTGGAACTGAAATTTCCCTTCCAGAACACTTAACTGCTTGACAATCTCACTATAAATTTCTAACTAACTGCCACATAACACCATATTTATGCATTTGCACATGTTGTTAAAGGAAGAAAAGAAGTAAGGGAAAGAGGGAGAGGGGAAGGAAACACAATCAAGCTTAAATTATTTTCCAGGTCTTTAACCCTACAGATTTGTTTACAAATTAAAAACCTATGACATATGAAATCCTTGCAACCAGGCCAATAAGCAACATCATGATAAACAGTGCAAAGATTAAAGTTGTCAGGGATTTCATTTTACTTGGATCCACAGTCAACATTCATAGAAGCAGCACTCAAGAAATCAGATGTAGTTTTGCACTGGGAAAATCACTGCAAAAGACCTCTTTAAGGTGTTAAGTAAAGATGTCTGTCACTTTGAAGACTAAGGAGCTCCTAACACAAGCCATGGTATTTTCTATCTCCTCATGCATGTAAAAGCTAGACAATGACTAAGGAAGACCAAAGAAGAGTTGATGCCTTTGAATTGTGTTGCCAAAGAGTACTGGAAATACCATGGACTGCCATGGTAGTAATAGGAAGAACATTTCAGGAGGTACCATATGATCAAGAACCAGTGGTACTGAAGGAAAAATTTGAAGCTGCAGTGAAGGAATTGGTGAAGAACAAGCCTTCAGGAATTGATGGAATACTCATTGAGATGTCTCAACAAACGGATGCCCCACTGGAAGCACTCACTCAGTTATGCCAAGAGATTTGGAAGAGAGCTACCTGGCCAAATGACTGGAAGAGATCCGTATTTGTACTCATTCCAAAGAAAGGTGATCCCACAGAATGTAGAAGTTATCAAACAATATCATTAATATTGCATGCAAATAAAATATTGCTGAAGATAATTCAAAAACGGTTGCAGCAGTATATTGACAGAGAACTTCCAGAGGTGCAAGCTGGATTCAAAAGAGAACGTGGAATGAGGGATGTCACTGCTGATGTCAGATGGGTCTTGGCTCAAAGCAAAGAATACCAGAAAGATGTTTACTTTTGTTTTATTGACTATGCAAAAGCATTTGATTGTGTGGATCACATCAAAATATGGATAACATTGAGGAGAATGGGAATTGCAGAACACTTAATTGTACTCAAGAGGAACTTGTACATAGACCAGGAAGCTGTGGTTCGAACAGAACAAGGGGACACTGCATGGTTTAAAATCAAGAAGGGAGTGCATCAGGGTTGTATCCTTCCCCATACTTATTCAATCTTTATGCTGAGCAAATAATCCAAGAAGCTGGACTATATGAAGAAAAACGTGGCATCAGGATTGAAGGAAGAATCATGAACAACCTGCAATATGCTGATGACACAACTTTGCTTGCTGAAAGTAAAGATGACT